ATACCCATCAATGAGACAGAATAGGTACAGGCCAGTCAAGCTAGACCACAGTTCCCATCACTGAATGCCAGGATTCGGGGACAGCCATGTCAGTATGGGCAACAACACCCACTGGCACATACAAGATCTGTTGCTGGGAGAAGGCCTTGTGGAGAAATTTGGGGAACTCCCTGCTAGGCTCTAGCTCCCCCAGCTGAGTGTGAGAGCTGGAGCTGAGAGACCAGACCAGGCTCGGCTGCAGCATCCATGATACCTGTGTGCTGGGAATAGGCCAGGCAGGGTGAGTCCACAGCACACACTTGCATAAGAGCCAGGACTGAGTGCATGCTAGGACAGCTTGGGCAGTTACGAGGGCTGGCACTAGGAATGGGCCAGGCCAGGCTAGGCTGTCACATCTGCTAGCAAGAGCTGAATTGGGGTGGGTTAGTCTGAGCTGAGCCAGGCTGCAGCAAGTGCTGCCAAATGCAGACTGGGAGTGGCCATCTCAGACTGTACCACAGCACCCACTGGCACACACGACTCAAGAGTAGGGAGTGAACCTAGTAGGGGAGCCTCTGGGATTAACCTGCTGTCCTGTTGATTCCACAGGTAAGCATGAGAGCAGGGATGGGGATGGATCAGGCTGGGCTAGGCTGCCACAGCCCCTGGCATGAGGCAGAAGTAACGAGAGCCAGCTTGGCTAGGTCACAGTACCAGCTGGCAATTTCCAGGACTGGCGGTACAAGTCCTGTCAGACTGGACTGCAGAAGCCCCTGGCAGGCTCAAGATCTGGGTTTGGGAGCATGTCTACCAAGGGAACTGTGGACACTGCCTTGGTAGGCTTGCCTCCTGCTAGTGAGCACAAGAGCCTGAGGTGGGCCAGACTGGACAAGATGGCTGCACTTATAGGCATGCAAGTAGGTCAGGTTTGAGAGCAATTTGTGCTGAGCTAAGCCTTAACACCCATGGGTGTGCATGAGAGCTTGTTGAGATGCAGACCAGGCCAGGCTAGGCTGCAGCAGAGGCTGGCATGCACCAAAATGAGCTGGGATGGGCCTGGCAGGTGTTACTGGAGGGTCACCCTAATCCACATTAACTGCTGATAGATGTGAGGACCAAGTCTGTGGCTGGTTGGGCTGTGCCACAGCATCCCTCAGTTTTCATGATCTATGGAACTGACCAGGCAGCTAAATTCACCTGTATGTGCAGTGCTAGGTGCAGGTGATGACCAAACCTGTGCTAGCTGGTGAATACAAGACTCAAGTCTGAGGTCATCTCAGGTGAAGTTTCTTAGGGACTCCCCAACTACAACACTCAACTTCGACCCTGGCCACAAAGAAACAAAAAAAAAAAATCACAGGATGTGTTCCGACCTTGGTGTATGTATCTGGACTGTGCCTCCTAAGTAGCTGATGTCTCTGTAGTGGACACCATGTCCAGGTACACAAGGGGGACACAAGAGTGAGCTCCTCTAGGCCAGGAGGGTTGTGTTAACAGTCTCATCAGAGGATGCAAAGCAGAACAGATTGAACAGTTCTCCTGGCCAAGCTTTGCAGCATGTTCCTGTGGGAGCACTAAGGTAGGCCTTGTCAACCAAGAGACCTTTGCAAAGATGTTCTCATCTTTTCTCAGAACTACTGAAACACCCTCAGAACTCTCTTCCCTACACTGGGATCTCTAACACATCATCAAATGACTGTCCCCATCCCCGAGTGCTGATGCAGTTTGACAGCAAGGAGTGCTCCCAATGACCCTCCTCCCCTGTGGACATAGGATAAAAAAAAGGGCAAACATTTGTCCCACTCACCTTCCTCCATACCTGACCCTCCCAGCTCTAATCAGAGGCCTGCTACAGGCATGTATCCCTCTAAACAATGTAAATAATATTAAAAAGAAAACATACATTTTTAAAAATAAAGGCACAAATTTTTAAAATTTTCAAGTCCAATTTATTTTGTCTGAACCTTTCATTTCATATACAACAAACCACTGCATAAGCCAACACGTTAAAATTTGTTGTTCATTTTTGTTAAGATTTTTTAAAGTTTTATTGGAGAAGAGAATGTTCTTCCATCCTCTGGTTCATGCCCCAAGCAGCCGCAATGCCTGGAGCTCAGCAGATCTGAAACCAGGAGCCTCCTCCAGGTCTTCCACGCAGATGCAGGGTCTCAAGGCACTGGGCTGTCCTTGACTGCTTTCCCAGGCCACAAGCAGGGAGCTGGATGGGAAGTGGAGTAGCAGGGACACAAGCCATCGCCCATATAGGATCCCGCTGCATGCAAGGGGAAGATTGAGCCTTTGAGCCATCACGCTGGGCCCTGTCCTTATATGTTCTAATATTGTCAGGGCATTAGCTCTTACGTTCAGGTATGTCACGTTACTCTACATACTGATACTCTGCAGTATCACCTATCTAGCATGTCTCAAACCTCTCCTTAAGCAATCTCTATGTAGATTTAAATTCTATATGTTTATGTATGTGTGTGTATATCCCCAACTCTGAGTAACTGTCTCTCTTCTCTACAGTTACTTTTCTCTAACTTTAGCTCTGTTCTTTCTCTAACCTTCTGGAACCCTGTCTCCTACTCTCTTCTAACAGTTCTTCTCTAACTCCATCTCCAACTCGTCTCTCTCCCACTCATTCTCTCTCCATGTCTCTCAAATATAAGAAACATCACACTTAACACGGGCGTGATAGTCCTGACCCTCTGAAAGTCAGGCTGGGTGGGAGACGGTATCTGAATATCACCCAATTCATGGTTAAGGGCCGTGGGAGGGTCAGCTGACTGCTACTACAGGAGACCTAAGTATTTTTCAGTAAGCAAGGCACAATAATACAGTAATGTTAATGCAGTTGTCACTGTGTGGTGTCTTCTTTAAATCAAATAAAGCAACCCATTATGGGAATTAAATCTCCTTAATAATATTTCCATTCACAAGGTTATCCGTAAGTAACTTAGTATACCAGACTCCTTTAGGATTCGTTTTGATAAGACCATAATTATCAGAGTATGTAAAATCGAAATCATTTGAAGTATCACTGAAGGAAATTAATCTAAGAATTTACCACTTTCAATCAATATATGTCTCTAGCATTTTCTTACCCGAGTTTCTAATTCAGACAACGTATCATCTCACAGTGATGCAGCCATGGTGTGTGACTTGGTCTTGATTTGAAATAGCTAGAAAACGGGAACCCGTGCAGAAGGTACTTCTACCTACACCCGAATTCTCAGAATACAGGACCATACAAGGGAGCCTGAAGAACCGCAAAGTACCTTCACAAGCTGAGCTCTGCACATCTGTGTGCACAGCGAGGAGCATCTAAGTCTTAGAAGACACAGGCAATTAACGACAAATGGGCTAGACTCGGGGTCATCTTTCAGATGCTACAGGTAACACACAGGAAACACGCAAAATACAACAATGGTCATGAATCATGTGTGTAACAATAATTCACAACAATTTCTTATAATTTGATTATAAGTTATCTTATCTTAGATGTTTCTTTGAAAAGATTTACAGACAGGTAGAGACAGAGTCATCCACCTGTTGGTTCACTCCACAAGGGCAGAGCTGAACCGATTCACAGCCAGGGGGTGAAACGGTTTTCTCACACAGAGGGCAAAGTCTCAAGCTACCCTCTGCTGCTTCCCAGGCCAAAAGCAGAGCAGGAAAAGAAGTGGAGAAGCCAGGACAGGAACCCACATCCGTATGCAGTGTTGGCACCACAGAGTGGAGGATTAACCTGTTCAGTCATAACACCAAACCCTAGAAATAATTTTGTTTCCTTTCAGAACACTTATCTGCAAAGTGTTTCAGTGGAGATCCGAAGGTAACACTTCCGGGGCAGCCAATGTGATGCAGCAGTTAAGACAATACTTAGGATGCTCACATCCAGTAACAGAGTGCCTGGTTCAAGTCCACTTCCCGTTTCCATTCTAGCTTCCCTCTGGTAACGCATGTGCTTGGGCCCCTGCACCGACCGAGAGACCCGGATAGCGTTCCCAGCTCTGACCTGGGCCTTGTACAGCTCTGGATTGCTAGCACTTGGGGAATGAACCAATACATAGAAGATCAATCAACACTCCATCCCTCTCCCCGCCCCCGTCTCTCTCATCTCTGTTGCTCAGCCTTTCCAATAAATGTAGACTTTTCAAAAAATATTTCTGGGAAATTATATTAATGATAACTTTAAAAAAAAAAAAGATTTGTTTTTTATTTGAAAAGCAGAATTACAGAGAAGGAAAGAAAAGGAACCATCTGCTGGTTCACTCCCCAAATGGCTGCCATGGCCAGGGTTGAGCTGATCTGATGCCAGGAGCCAGGAGGTTCCTCCAAGACTCCCAAGCAGGTGCAGGGTCCCCAGTCTCTGGACCATCCTCTGCTGCTATCTCAGACCCACAAACAGGTAGCTGGATGGGAAGTGGAACAGCTGGGACATGAATTGGCAGTGCCCAGGAGATCCTGGCTGGGGGAGGATTAGCCAATTGAGCCATCACACAGGGCCCAATGTTTCTGTCAAAGAGATTATTTATTGGAAAGACAGTTGCAGAAACAGGGAAAAGGGAGAGAGATCGATTGGTTGGTCTTCCACACACTGGTTAAATCTCAAACCATGTCTAGCAGCCAAAGCCTGGGCCAGGCCAAAGCCAGTAACATCACCTGTATCTTCCCACAGAAGTCCAAGGGCCAACAGACTTGGGCCAACTTCTACTGCTTTCCCAGGAACATCTGCAGCGAGCTGGATAGAAAAGTGGACCAGCCAGGACTCAAACCACTGTTGGTATTCTGATACCACCACGCCAGTCCCAATGACAGTTTCATCGGACATTAATTAAAATGTATTTCTAAAATCAGCATGAAGAATACCTCACAGACGTTCTGTACCAACAAAGGAATTTCTATAGTCTTTTTATGCATTATGATTGTCATAGAAATTTTTCTTAGAATCACCATATTTTCATCTCAGTGATAATATAATGATACCAGGGGTGAAAAAGTGCATATGGGAAACAGACTTCAGTTTTATACTATTTATTTTAAAATGTTATAGATCAGAGCTCTGGAGCAGAAATACATAAGTCAATTTAGGTGATTATACCTTGAGCAGAATAAACTGAATAAAGCTAAGCAGAAGCAGAGATTTATGGAAGACAAGCTGATACAGAGTGATATAAATAAGATTGTCATTTTTCTCACAGAATTACCAACTTGCAAAAATGTGATGTTCTAACCTCTAAAATGCTTTAGTTAAAAGAATGTTCAAGTGGATACATACAAAGAAGCTCAGTGGACAGAGATGTCGGATGCCGGCAAGGCCAGAACATTCCATGTGTCATCTTCGTCCCCACCCTCCGGACTCCTGCTGTTCCAGCAATAAGCTTCAAGCGAATGTGTTTTTAAGGATACATACTTTCAAACATAAATAAACCAAAGCAATTTGAAAATACATTTTTTTCCCCTAAATTTCCTTGTCAGAAGAGTGACAATCTTATCTCCGTGTGAAATAAAATGAGCCTGCACTTCTGCAGGGATGTCACAGAGTTAGCCCGCTCCCCACAGCAGCACGCCAGGAGCTGTCCAGCAGCCTCCGGGCAGCCCGGCCGGCCACAGTCTCAGGGTCTGTATATTGCTACATCCGCTGCTCCATGTCTGTGGCTCGTATCTCTTGACAACTGAGGATTAAGTGTCGCACAGGAAACTAACCAGTCAGAAATACTATTCCTCAACTTTTCAACCTATGAATTGACATAAAATATAACAACATAGAGCCAAAACATTCAATTCAAGTATTTTAGGCTTTTTTATTTAATAAATAACTTCAGAAAATAGCACTGTAAAAAGTGATCTGTTAAAATTAAAAGGCACTTAAAATAAGGTGTGAGGGGCAACTCAAGCTGTGAGAAGCACAATACAGGTGGGGTGGTCCCTGTGGCACTAACCAAAGGTAAGTAAGGCTTGTATGGGGGGGACTGTCCCACAAGCCACAGGAGGACATCACAAGTTTACTGAAAAGCAAATTACACCTAATGTTTCAAAGGAAACGCATTGATAGGAAATCTTACCTGACATGGAAACAAATAAGCATCAGATTAGAAAAGGAGATAAAAAGCACCAGGCTCCAAACAAAATAACAAAATAAAATTCAATGCAAAATATCCCCCTTGAGCAAATGCTATGTAAATTACGGCCTGTGTGTACAGTGCTAAACCAAGGATGGGTAAGCCAAAAGCTGTAGTATTCTTATCCAAGGCTGGAATTTAAAGAGAAGGCATAAAAGTTACCACGACGAAGTAACTCTTATAATGGCACACAGGTTTTAAAGCTATTGGTTTTTCCTTCCTAAATCTCTGAACCTTCCCCATGGCCTTTGCAGATCAACCATCTCAACGCTGTTTCATCTCAGGAACTCCCAACACACTTGTCTTTCAGATATGTCATCAGGCGTGTAATAAAAGGCAAATGGCAAAATAACACTTTTTAAATAATCCTAAACTAGCTAGTGGAACCTTTACTTTTGGGAATCTGTAGAACTGAATATGGACATATCTGTCAAGTTAAAAAATCCACTGTAACACATGATTAACAGAAATTCTCCCCATGCGCATTCCCCTGCCCCTCGCCCTTCCAATGACCCCACAAGCATCACCAACGCAGTGGCAACGTGATTTCAGCAGTCCAGGAGGAAAAAGTCAGAAGGCACAATGTGACCTTAGCTGACAAGGCTAACACCCTGTCTCAAGTCTCTGTCAGTCCCTGGCATGCATTAGAACATTATTTCGAAATAATAAAAATCCTTAAAAATTATACATACTGTACATTTTCAAATCCTGCCCTTGGGTAAAACCATGGCGCTACTGCCCTAGAGCGACTACACTGTGACTAGGAAGACAGCTACATCAGTGCTCGGAGTCTGCAGGGCAGCTCACTTGCCCTCATACTTTGGGTTGACCACAGTTGTCACAGCACTCTTGTAAATAGGATTTTCACCCTAAAAAGAAAAAAAAAAAAGTATTGCACTATAAAATCATGTGGTATTTATACATCAAAATTAAATGGTAGTCATTTTAATAAGTCATTCTGTCTTATTTGGAAAGCATTAGTAACCACCTGCACAACTGAGAAATGGAAGCTGTGCTCTGCTATGGTCGGTCTTGGTTTGTCTCCCTGTCACTCCCTGGGTCCTTCCTGCAGTGGCAGATTTGGAAGCACCCTCCATCCTCGGCAGCCAGCACAAGGCATCCCCAGACTCACTCCTCCTTAGGGAAGCATTAACGGTGCCCGACTCTTCACCACTTGCTGGACACCCAGATGCTTGGTAATCAAGGGAGCCTCAGTTTCCACTGCAGGGAGGGAGGTGCGGGACCCTCCACTGAATCCACTCAGAATGCTAACACAGACAATCGTGGCGCTCAGGACACAACTGTCATCCCAGGAGAAATGCTTACTGCAATGCCAGATTTTAGTGAACAGAACTGAAATCAAGCCTCAAGCCAACCAAGCCAGTGACTCCAGGCCATTAGCTCAAGATCTCTCAACATGCAAATCACTGCTGGCAACATTTTCAGCAGAAAATGAATAACCACCATTCTGCCCCCGGGAAGCATACAATTTGGAGAGTGAAAGAGAAATAAGTACTCTGATATAGAACAAAATAGAATTTTGCACAACAAAATATAGCAAGGGAACAAGAAAAGTGAGCAACAAATCAGCAGCTGGTTCATGGTGAAAACGTACAGAGTTAAAAATACCAATCAAATCAACGTGTAGGAAAAAGAACAGTTACTTCATACAGAAATGTACATAATTCGAAAGTTCTTAGGTGTGGTAAAAGGTCTACTTGCTAAGGTGCTGGGCAAGGAGAGGTGACAAGACAGACAAATCACCCAGGTCCTGTGTGCCTGACTAGAGTGTGGGCATGTTACCAGGGAGAGGGGAGACGTGGGCAGGGAAGTCCAGCACACCAAGGGTGGTTCCTGCAAGAAGCCAGACCACAGAACAACCAGGCCAGCTGTGCTGTGACACGGGCTCAGGGTCCCTCTCAAAATGGGTCACACACCTGAGGTCAAACTCAACAGGACTTCTAATCCCAAGTCCCACCCCCATTTGGAGTCAATTCATTGCTAGCCAGACTCCCAAAATGGGACTTTGTGGAGTCGGGAAAATGGGGTCCAGCGATCACCTTCTTAGAAGGTCCTGGAGAATGTGAACAAGACTCAGACTACCTGCACGAGGCCAGTTGCGTGGGAATCACTCCGCCTAATGTGTTCTAATTAAGAATAGCAAGGGAGGGACAAAAAAAAATCAAATAGAATGGCAAAGACTATTACTGTCTGATGGGCCCCAAGTACAACCTACATTATGCTTCGCACAGCAAGGAAGCACTTACCTTTGAGAAAATATTTTCTTTGTCATTACATTATCTCAAAGTCCGTCCCAACAAAAGTTGAACATGCAAGGTTAGAGGTAAAAATAAGCTCACTCTGAATTAGACACCCTGGAGGCCAACTAAGTGCCTGAGATTAGTCAGCAACCACGTGCAGTCCCGTGGCAGCAACAAGAAGCAAGCCTAACGTGCTGCAGTGCGCTGTGCCCGGCAGAACCAGCGCTTGTTCCTGCTGTCAGTAACACCATCATGTCCCCCCAGATATGTTCCTGCTGTCAGTAACACCATCATGTCCCCCCAGATATGTTCCTGCTGTCAGTAACACCATCATGTCCCCCCAGATGTGTTCCTGCTGTGACTCATGAATGAACCAGCAAGGGTTGGTCCAGTACAAGAAAAGTGCTTCAGAATGCGTGATCATTTCACTTGTTTGATTAATGGTTCGTCCCTTATTTTTTAAAGACATTTATTTTTATTGGAAAGTCAGATTTACAGAGAGGAGAAAGATCTTTGTCCACTAATTCATTCCCCAAGTGGATGCAATGGCCAGAGCTGAGTTGACCTGAAGCCAGGAGCCAGCAGCTTCTTCTGGGTCTCCCAAGCAACGGCAGGGTCTGAAGGCTTTGGGCTGTCCTCCACTGCTTTCCCAGGCCACAGGCAAAGCTGGATGGGAACTGGGGCAGCCAGGACATGAACCGGCGCCTATATGGGATCCCAGCTCATGTTAGGCAAGGATTTTAGCCACTCATCCCTTAATTTCTACTTTGTTTTTCTTAAGAACAGTTCAGAATAATCTGCAGCCAAAACTTTAGGCTACATTTGCATGGATTTCACTGGTACAAGACATTTTTACCAAGCTTTGGCCTCTTGTGTGATATAAGAAGCCTAATTTGGTTGAACAAGTAACATTTTACGTAAAACTTTAGTCAATGCTACAGAAATTGGACTTAAATAATCATTTCTATTTTTTGATGCTTTCAAAGTTTAACTAAACATACAGCAAAGGTGAAAGTTTGGGTAGGACAAACAGAAGTAACTGTGGACCTGTGGTGTCTGCTTGCTACCCACCTACAAAATCAGCACAAGAAAATATGCAAGGAGCTTGCTATTCCTCTCCACATCAATTCAGGGGTTCGGCACTGTAGTGTAGACGCTGAACTGCTGCAACCCTGGCTCGTGTCCCAGCTGCTCCACTTCTGTTCCAGCTCCCTGCTAATGCGCCTGGGAAAGCTGAGGCAGCCATTTGGGGAGTGGACCAGAAGACAGAAAATCAGTATCTCGTCTCACTCTACTCTGCCTTTTAAACAAATGAATAAATCTTTTGAAAACGATAAAAATGACTTTCTTTGGAAGTCTTAGGTAACAGAATGCATTGAGTTTCAAATTAAAAGACATGAAAGTTTGTTCCTGTATCAGTTTCACTGTATTCTTCTACCCTTCTGACACCAAATGTAACTTTAAAAAGTCTTAACATCTGATCAGAAATAAGTGAGAAATCTAACAAGTAATGACTTCTAATGCTATCCCTTAAAAATACAGAACAACTCTGTATTTCAAGATCTCGGTAAAATTACCATCATAAAAGCAGACCTCCAGAGAGTGACCGGGTACAGGGCAGAGTTGACTTCTATGCAATAAAGCAACTTCATGGTGAAGACGTTGCCTGCAGCAGTAGTCACTGTACTAATAAACTGAAATAGCTCTATGCTTTTCAAGAGTTTCTTTGTAAAAAGGCTCTGGGATCTGGTGACGGTGGGAGGTGGCCCTGTGACGCTTTGTGCGACAGGCAGAGACACAGGAACATACATACAGGTGAACTGGAAGCCAGCCTGAACAAGATGGCAGGAGAACAGACAAATCCTTCATGTCCCATCACCACCCACGAGGTGAGCTGAGCAACAAGAGCTCCGATCACACCAGGAGGGAAAGTGGGCTCCAAACACCTTTATCCTCTCTATTGGTCTGAGGAGCTTACACAATGATATTAATCCGTGTTTCCAAGTATGTCATCCAGAGGTCAGGATGACACACTGTGCACGTTCCTGCTCTTCTGCCTTCTAAAGGAATTCCAGGCTGTAAACACTAACTGAAGAATCTAGAATTCCTTCTAGAATTCCTTCTAGAATCATTAGCAATAGCACTACAGTTGTGTACTACACAAACAGCACAGCAAGTCACGCTTATCCACTTTGCAGTTTGGACTTCCCAGGTCCAATAGTCACGTTTAACCCTGACATGGACAGCAATTGGTTATGCCAGGTCAATCCCACCTCAGGCACAGGACTGTCATGAGGATGAATACTGGCACAGTGACATCATAACCACAGAGCATTGGCCCCGGTCAGTTACTCCTTCTCAAAGAAATGCCCACCTCCTACCAAAGACAAGAGGGGCTAACGCCTGCGAAGTGCGGACACACAGCTGTCCCACTTAGTATGTGGGGAGCTGGGCTTTGACCCCAGCTCTGGCTCATCACCACAAGCTAATTGTCCTTTCTACATTCACCAACTCCCTGTCTTGGTGAATGGCATCGTCCCGAAGGAGCAGCACAGGTCTTCCAGTGCCAAAACTACTCCATTTGGGTCATTAACTTCACACACCATCAGATTTAGTTGCAGCTCTCCCGGAAACCCTGCTGTGTCCCTTCTCGTCCAATGCCCATGGAGCCCAGTATAATGAACTCAAGCATGTTGATCACCGCACACAAACAAGGATGTAGATTCTCCAATGCGCTAAGAACTCCACATCCAGGGAGAAGTTCAGCGCCCAAGCCATTCTCAGCTACCATGGAAAACAACAGCTCTGGCACCACATACTGCTGAGCGTGCATGTGACAACAAGGGAACTCAGGGTGTTGGTGAAAGGCATCGTCCCGAAGGAGCAGCACAGGTCTTCCAGTGCCAAAACTACTCCATTTGGGTCATTGATTTCACATACCACTTTTGTTTAAAAGCCCTTCTAAGAGACTGAGTGTACACACAAAAGCAAAAGCCGCAGTTTAGACGTATCAATAAAGCCAGACTTCCAAAAATGTAGCAACAGTGCTAAATGGACACCCAGTGCAGTCAAAAGGCAGGAGCTCACGTGCAAGGCAGAAAGGGAAAGGAGATACCGGTGGCAACTCAGGGGCCAGCTTTACGTCCATAGTTTGGATTCTTGAAATTATTAATAGGGCTCTTGTAAATCGGATTTTCTTGCTAAAGCAAAAGAAACGGTTTCTAATGATTTCATCAGAAAGAAAATGGACATTCCTGGTGTTTAAACACTACTACGATTTATTATTTCCATGCCCCAGAAATTGACAATTCTTGAAAAATTCAAGCAACTAGTAAAATGTAAATGACTAAAATTCATTTACATCTGAATACGCTGTCACAGCTTTCTTCTGTCAAGAAGACAACAGTGGGCGTGGCGTGTGTCACGCCTTCCCCTGACTCCCAGTCTGCAAGCAGTAAGCACCTTGGAAACCTTCCTATAAAGCCAATTTCCTGAGATAACATTTGTATAGAGTACCTTTCTGAGTGGAGTCCCCTGAGCATGCAGACACACCCCCAAACCTAAAGGCAACAAGACTCCTGTCCCCACAGACTTGTCTTTTCTAGAACATCATGGAAATGGCGTCTAGCTGCTCGCCACTCAATCATCACTGTGTGAAAGGAGTACGAACCCTTCACGGAACAGCTCCCCACACAGTGACACTAGTCAGGGTCCTCCCACCAGACAGAGAGGCAGGTTTAACCCCCACACTAGTGAAGAATCAGACACACTGGACACAGTAATAAGAATAGCCATTCTTGCAAAGTTTTGGTTAATAGGAATACATTTAGGATGCTTTCTATTTCTCACTAAATGCTAATTACTTTAATAATAAACTTTCAGAGAAAATTCCAGGCCTAACTAAACAGGCAGTCTCAGACCCAGGTAAAATCCTTGCACTGTCCTCTTAAGTAGTGCATGAGGCACCTTATATTTTTAGATATTATGCAACTTACCGTGTCCCACTTGGCATTCATTTTCTCCTTTTCAAATTTAGCAAATTCCCTTCTGTCGTGAATGATCATCAGCAGCTTCCAAATGAGCAGCAACGCGAGGCCGATGAGGACAATGCCGGCCACCACACCAGCTACGATTGGAATGATGTCAGGACCAGTGGGACACTCTGCAAAGTCAGAGGGTTGGGAGTAAGCACAGCGCAGCCAGAGCGACACCGAGTCTGCCAGGCCCCAGGCTAGATGATCCCAAACAAAAATCCTGAATAAAAATATATTTCTGCATATTAAAAATGGCAATTTTTAAAGTCACGTTATAGTGTCATCAAAATCATGAAAACTTGGTTAGTCTCATAAAATACAGGAAAAATTTGTGCATTTAAGATTCCTGCTCTTCTTTGCTCCTCCCCTCTCTCTCCTTCCAGCCTCCTTTCCCCTTCCCCTGTTCCTGCCCCGCTGGAATAAACCTCCTAAGATACAAAAAAAAGATTCCTACGCAGTATTAAAAGCAGTAAAAGGAAATCTGAATAAATAGACAATCCCTGTCCAAGAACTAAAATCAATACTGCCATGATTACCACTGGTTCCCAATTTGAGCTATAAATGCAAACTATTCCCAGGCAAAATCCTGATGGGACTTCTTTGAAAATCAGCAAACTAATCTATATGAAAAGTGAAGAGCCAGGTAAGAGTTTCAGAAACTCTTTGGGAAAGAACGAAGTCTGGAGTGCTCACATTAGCTATTTTCAAAACTCAGAGGAACAGACTGAGAGCCGACCATAGTAAGAGACAGGCTTGTACATGCGCGTCAGGGAGACAGTGGTCCCAGCCGAAGGCACCCACTGAACCCTGCTCCACATGCTAAGACACGACCGTGCGGAGGATGCTCTTGGACACAAAAGTCAAGTGAGATCCACGGGAGAAATCTTGGTCAATTATTGCTCAAGATCACAAACTCTCGTGTTCAATGGACAGCGCTTGGGAATGACCAGGAGACACACACTGGGAAGCAGTGCTTGCACAAGCTTGTCCGCAAATACACTCTATGCCACAACATGCCAACCAATGCAGAACCACTGGGCAGTTCACTTCCACATTCAACACACGCTTGCCGCCTGTTCCAGAGTTCTGGTTCTAAATTTAACTGAGATATAGGACACGCATTCACAAAATCCTGCCTACTCGAGAAGAATTTCAAGAAATCCAGTAAAAAGTTGTTAAGAAAATCCAAGATGTGCTCCATCTGCCGAGAAGCGGAGCAAATTCAACACTTCCGTTCCATCCTTCCACAGGTTATCTTCCCCAGTGCCCAAGCCCAATCCAGCTCAAATCTCAGGTCACCAGTGGTAACTGAACATGGCCTGAGTCTGCATGTTCTACACGCCTGCAACACCCATCCTGACATCTTCACACTCCCTCCTCAGACAACCTGAAACTCAGCTTCTCTTCTCTCTGATACTGCCTTAAGAGATGAAAAATGCCCCCACATTGAACCTAGGGAATCCAACCGGAAGCTGTTTCTGGGTGCCTGGAACTTGACAATGAGCCTAAGCAGTCTGGAGACAGGAGAGGGCGGGAGGGATTTCTGGGCCGCTCGGGTTCTGACCTGGAGTCTCTACGACGTGAACGATGGCCTCATTGTTGCCGTTGACCGAGTACGTGAAGTAGAACCAGCAGTCATCCACGTCCTTCTCCTTGCAGTGGGACAGGGGGTCCACCTGGCCGGGCTGCGGCAGCTTGTCCCGATTTTCCACCTTGGTGATGTTGAAATGTGAACACTCCTGGGCACACCTGTCTTTCTTTTCTCCTTTATTGAAGGCTCGACACTGAACACATTCTCTGTAGACACACAAGTCATTACAGTTCACATTCCCCATTGAAGCTAAGTGTTTTCTTAAACATTACCTTGAGTGTTAAATTTGGGTGATCAAATTCAACCAGGTGCTATGAAATCGAATTTTAGTCAGCAGAGGCGTATTGTCTCTTGGATGGAAAAACTCCATCAGAGGATGACAATTTCTGGGAGTGGGCCTTTTGCCTAGTGGTTAAAACACCCACATCGCACCAGAATACCTGGGTTCGACCCCCAGCTCCAGATGCTGACCCCAGCTCCAGATGGTGACCTCAGCTCCAGATGCTGACCCCAGCTCCAGATGGTGACCTCAGCTCCAGATGGTGACCTCAGCTGCAGATGCTGACCCCAGCTCCAGATGGTGACCTCAGCTGCAGATGCTGACCCCAGCTTCCTTCCAGTGCAGACCCCGGGAGGCAGTCACCGTGCCTCAAGCTACACTTCCTGCCACCCTTGTGGGAGTTGTGGATTCAAGCCAGCCTAGTCTACTCATGAAGGACATTTGAGGTGTGTGCCAGCAGACAGAAAGTCTTAAATTAACAAATGAAAACTTTACAAAATGGTACTTTTCCAAACCAAATTACAAATTAAAACTTCAAATTAAAATCACAATAGAGAAATAAAAGGTCAGCCTATGGAACTGTATCATAAAAATAGTAATAATAATAAAATATTGTTTTTAAAAAAGGTCATAAAATGACAGTCCTGTCACAGAGTAAATACATTAATACAAAATTATAATAACAGGCCTGCTGCAGTAGCCTAGTGGCTAAAGCCCTTGCCTTAGATGCGCCGGGATCCCATATGGGCGCTGGTTCTAATCCCAGCAGCCCCGCTTCCCATCTGGCTCCCTGCTTGCGTCCTGGGAAAGCAGTCGAGGATGGCCCAAAGCCTTGGGACCCTGCACTCATGGGGGAGACCTGGAGCAGGCTTTGGGCTCCTGGCTTCGGATCAGTTTAACCCTGCCACTGTGGCTACTTGAGGAGTGAATTAGTGGATAGAAGATCTTCGTCTCTGTCTCTCCTCCTCTCTGTATATCTGACCTTCCAATAACAACAATAATAATAATAAACTATAATAATTTAAGCAGTATATTACTGGTAAAATAATGTTCCTTCAAAGGAAAAAAGCCTTCTATTCTGCCAAGTCAAAAAATAGTACTCTAAGAAATTTAACAAAAAAAGGCAACTGAAGAGAGCCAAGTCCTTAGAAAATTCCAATCAAAATATCCTTACACCTCTCCATGACACATTTTCGTGTGCTATTAACAGTCATTAGCTGCTGAGAAAGGGTTTTTAAGGATGAGGAGTGGGCTTCCACAAAGCATTTAGATTGGACACAGTCTAACGCAGGCCCTGCCCCAGTTCGGGCGACAGCACACACTCACGCAGCGACGCTCGCCAGCAATCAGGAAATACGTACTTGTGTTCAGCACAGACGCCCAGGCAGGTCTGACACATCTCACAGGTTTGCCCTTGAAACTTGGGATCCGTGCACTTGCAGACGCCGCACTCACAGATCCCCCGGCCGTTGCAGATCTGCCCGTTTGTGGCCATGCAAGAGGTCGTATCCAGAGAACAGTCGCACGCGCTGCCGGTGTAGTTAGGATTGCACTCGCACACGCGACACTTGCAGACACCATTTCCTGCAATTAAAAATATCACGTTTCCAGCTAGTGGTGAAAACATAAAATCATGGCATGCGCTTACAAAGGGGCCAAAACACGGAAGAAGTCTGAGGGACGGACCGACACTCCACAAGCCTGACTAGTTAACCGAGTGAGTTTTCAAGACCTGTTATCACATACAGTGGGACCACACTTCAGACCCTTCCTCACCTCCACAAATCAAGCCATTGGACCGATCACAGTTGAAGTTATCACACTCGCAGAATTTGCCGGAATAGATTTCGTTCGTGTTGTCCCTCTTGCGGCAGACACACTGCCCGCACACGCACTCCCCATTGTTGCTGCAGATCTCAGAGCTGTTCTCCTTCCTGCAGTAGGCGTCCATGTCCTCGCTGTTCACCTCGTCCGTGCTGCACTCACACTGTCTGCCAACACGGCCCTCGTTGCACCTGAGCCAAGATCACAAAACTCCACTTGTATCAGGAGAAATAACCGAGAACCCCTGTCTCTTCAAACTGCAAACATTAAATGAGAAAACAAGTCTGGAAAGACGGAATTCATGTAATTTCAAAGAATACAGCAACCGTAATTTTAAATGATGCCTTATCACATTTTTAACTATAACTGAACTATGGCTCTATTTTAACCTAGAAAAGCACAATAGCTACATCCAAGGAAGTACAGGAAATCGAGCAGAAGTGGGCCAGCCACATCAGCTGAAAATGTGACATGTTCTTCAAAAACAAAGTTATCCTACTGAGCCAGACTCTACGGAGTTTTTAAAATATAACTAACGCTCATGGACACTGCCAGCTGATTCTGCATGTGGTGAACAGAGAAAGGGAAGAAAGAGGAGGCATGCTCATGGGAATTCTTCATGTGTTTCCCTAAAGACACAGTCGCATGACTCAAAGAGAGGACATCAGGCACGGAGTAGGAGCTGACAACATCTGGATGGCTCTGCAGCACAGGCAACTGCACTCGGGGCAGCCATGTGCCTTCCTCATGGCTGGCACCCAGCCGGCCTAGTCACCTACAACCTACATGGACATCAGATGTCCCCGTGTATTCAGGATGCATTCAGGTTCAGCTTTTAACTTAAAAAGTAATTACAGTGTGAAATAGCTTTACTGATGTTACATTTTATATTCTGAAAAGTATCATTATTTTAATTTTATGTCACATACATATTTTTAAGATTCCAACAGTGCAGAAGCACAAGCGGTGACAACTGAACATTGTTCAGGACAACTTCATTCCATTTCCCAGAGAAAGCTACCATCCTCGGTCATGCATGTCTGAAACCTTACCTGGGCTTATTCACTACAAATTCACAGTACCGTCTCATGACAGAAAACCAAGTGCAATCTTAGACTATGAGGTTTTCATTTGAAAGATGAGACAGACAGGAAAACAGAATGCCATGTTCAAGATCACCAGTTTGGAATACATTTCCTTATTTGCTCCCAGTGCTCTGCCCACCCCGTGCACGTCTGGGTCCTGCTCCGCGATCCCGGCTCACCTGCAGGCCCCACACTCGAACGTGCCATTCCCATCGTGGCACTGGGGACTGGCAGGGATGCCTGCGTCCTGGCACTCGCACTCACAGATGAACTCAAGGATCACCTCGACCTCCTCAGTGAAGCCCAGAGGCTTGATTTTAATGGTTTCAGAATTCTTATTCGGACACTGATTTGAAGTAATGCTGATTTCAAACTGAACCTTTAAGGAAAAAAGCAAGATAGAGTGAACAATATGCTTAATAATACCAATCCACTGAAAATATTTCCAAAAGCCATCATTTCTTTTGGCATTTCTCCAGATATTTGTTTATAAATATACAATACCTCATCTCCAATGGAGATGTTGGAGCACTTTCTTCCATTATCCCCTGTGCCATTCACCCCATTCTTGCAGTAAGATTTGTAATTTATGGTTACTCCTTCTGGCAATTTGCTGTTTTCCAAAATGACTTCTGAGGAAAGGGACTGAAACAAAACATGGTTATATACAGGAAAGCCAAGCAGAATATACCGGAATGCATGAGACCGACAGGTAAAATGCTGACAGGACATATCCAGTCAAGACAGGGTTTTGAAGCTCAGGTCAACAGAGCGGCTAGGAAACACAGAACTGAGACCAGGCAGGCTCCAGTCAAGCAGGACTGGATCTGCAAACACAGACACTGTAGAAAAGAGCATTCTGCCCCATGCCTGTGGTGAAATACCAATGAGCACGCAGTTCAGGCCTGACCCAATTACCACTGCTTGCCTGGAAAACACACACAAACAAGCCACGCCTGCAGGGGAAAGACTCAAGCCAATACTTAACCCACCCCCTGCCCAGCTGAAGTGGGACTCAAGGCTTTTGATTTTTCAACCTCCCACCACAGCCGACTCAGTGCGGCAGCATTTCCCAGCACCCTCCTTGGACACTCCTGTTCTCAGCCTCCAGCTTCAGCCCATCCCAGCCCAGTCTGTGGACATCCAAGACGGGAGTTCCATCTCTGTCTCTAATCAAAACTAACATTTTGTTTAAAAAAAAAAAAAAGAACAGCAAGCAAGCAGACCTCTCAGGACAAATAGAGAAGATGGTAGTTGCTCACATTCTTGGACAAGACAGAAATTGGGAAAACAGTCTGGTGGGGAAAAGCAGCTTAGGGAGGACGTAGGAACTGCTGACATCCTGAAGTCCTGGGCAGGTGTTTGTCCTAGCGCTCACAACACCAAGCAGGTTGCCCATCAGCGTTTGTCTCCCCGCTGAGCAGCTCCTGGCCCACTGGGAGACAGCAGCCAGGACTGAAGCAGACCTGGATTAAGTTCCCAGCCCGATCATGGAGTGAACCAAATGTTCATGTCTTCAAACCAGGTCTTTCCAAAATATACTGAGATTCCCAAGGGGGAAAAAAAATACTCAAAACTCAACCAACACCAACTCTCCAAAGGTTAAAGGGGGATCAGAGCGGTGTATGCAGCACATGAAGAGTTAGGGTGACACTTCCAATGCCTGCTTACACAATGCTTCATGGGAATCAAAGCTTTACGCTTGGAGGGAAAGCACAGCTCCTTCTAATATCAACTCAGCTCTCCCAGGTGAAGAGAAAGAATTCCATTAAGCTTTTAAAATAGCCCCGTTGCAGACAAGCACATATTCAGATTTTTATATATTCCACTTACATTTACAAATGAGTGCGTACACTTACTAAAAACAGAAACAAATGTTCTCTGCATGTATGGGAGGAAAGAAGTGGCACAAATGCTTGTCCAGCAAACACAAGAATGTACCAAGAACACTCTGGAGAGGGAAGGGGGACTGAGGACCCCCCAAATCCAGGCGTCAGCTCCCTAGCAACCTTGCTTTCACACAGTGACACACACATGAGCGGTTCCCTTATGTGCTTTTATCCTATTTCTGCTTGCTTGAGGCTATGCTTTTCACACAGTGTAAGACGTCCCTCCAGATACGGAATTTAAGTTCTGTGTTGCCCCCGGGCTTCCCGCACTGTTTCTCAGCACTTCCGCTTGCACAAGGCACAGTCCAGAGCCCCCGGGGTCTGCTGCCACTCACATTGTAGGCATCGATGATCAGCTGGATGACGTTGCTGGAGTTTGCGGACAGCGTTCCCACTGCTGACTTGGGGATCAAGTTTTTCAGTTCCTGCGATTAAACAATGTAACACATCAAGCACATCTACTATTCACTAGCCGATCAGCGCCCACTGAACAAGCAACCTGCGTCTTTATAAATACCCGTTGCCTGTACATCTCCTAAGCCACTCTGGGAGTGAAACCAGAAAAACACACGTTTCAAGGTATGAATAACATCAACCTCTTCTGTAAAATCCAATTTTACTGAGCTAGTGGCACCTTCCTGCATTTCAGTTCGTATATACTCCTCTACCTCTCTAAGGCAACAACAACAAAGAACCAGCACTTCTGTCTCTCTTCTTAGCTCACACATACCTTGTACACAGGCTGAAACTCTTCAGTAACGGCAAAGATGGTCTGGATGTTATTTTCGCTGAGTTTCTGGACGAGGTGAGCAATAGAGGGATAGTCCTAAGAAATGAAGAGACACAGCTTAGACACAGGTCCTCCTTCCAATCTGCTCTGAAATGTTCACACCTGTACAGGTCACAGTCTCCAGGCCAGTGACGGCCAAGGTGAGTGGAACACACAGCAGGGGTTGCCCAGCTGATCCCTTCTTTTACATGTACATATAAGAATATCCACTCTAGGGTCCAGTGCAGTAGTCTAGCGGCTAAAGTCCTAGCCTTGCATGTGTGGGATCCCATACAGGTGCCAGTTTATGTGCCAGCAGCCCCCGCTTCCCATCCAGCTCTCTGCCTGTGTCCTGGGAAGGCAGTGGAGGAGAGCCCAAAGCCTTGGGACCCTGCACCCACGTGGGAGACCCAGAGGAAGCTCCAGGCTCCTGGTTTCAAATCGGCTCAGCTCCTGCCACTGTGGCCACTTGGGGAGTGAATCAGCAAACGGATGGTCATCCTCTCTCTCTCCTTTCTGTATTTCTGACTTTGCAATAAAAATAAATGAATCTAAAAAAAATATAGATTCACACTGGAAACAAAGACAGTCTGTGTGCATACCGAGTGGCAAAGAATCGGAAGTGTTATTATCTGTCACTTCAGAAAAAAAGATTCAATGTTGTTCATATTTCTTCTAGAACTTGAATAATTTGCCAATATTTTCAGTAAAGGCAGATGCCTACTTTTAAAAATCGACTAATAGGGCCCAGCACAATAGCCTAGTGCCTAAAGTCCTCACCTTGAACGCACTGGGATCCCATTCGGGCGCCAGTTCTAATCTCGGTGGCCCCATTTAGCATCCAGCTCCCTGCTTATGGCCTGGGAAAGCAGCTGAGGATGGCCCAAAGTCTTGAGACTGTACCCACAATGGGAGACCTGCAAGAAGCTTCTGGTTCCTGGCTTTGAATTAGCTCAGCTCCATCCACTGCCGCCACTTAGGGAGTGAATCAGTAGACAGAAGATCTTCCTCTCTCTGTCTCTCCTCCTCTCTGTATATTTGCCTTTCCAATAAGAAATAAATCTAAAAAAATCAACTAAGATAAAAAAAATGTTTAAAGGAATCATCAACTTTGCCAGCCAAGTGTTCCAGCAAGCAGACAAGACGAGTTAGGAGTGAAATTGTGTCTTAGGCAGCCCCTGTTTCCTGGGCAAGGACCTTCCCCGCACAGAAGGAAGCAGGTTCAGTCACTCCCCACAGACAGCGCCTCCAGCATCCCTGTACATTTAAGTTACCATATTGCCAAACCCCGAGAAACACACAATGCAGTCACCCACCAAACATGCAGAGGAAGCACCACAATTCACCATTAGGAACCAGCACTTACGTAATAGTGGCTCATGGTATACATGTTGTTTTCCAGGTGGCACTGTCCATCGTTGGGTAAAACAATGCCGCCAAGTTTCCCATCTCCAGCGAAGTGGAAGCCGGCATCCGTGGAGAACACCAGCAGCCTGGTGACATTCCTCCAGCCGATCAGTGACTTCAAGAGAAAGGCAAGGCTCACACAGCGTCCCTGGGTCTGAGCACAGATCTGCTGGCTTTCCTGCACTCTCCTGCCGACTCTGTGTCTTCACTCCCAACGCTGCTGCTTGTGCTCAAGAGTGCAGCACCCACTGAGACTTCTACCACCCAGCATCATCCCTCTGCCTGGCTGTCCCCATCTCTGCTCTGTAAAAACTGGTTTTGGGCCCGGCGGTGTGGCCTAGTGCCTAAAGTTCTTGCCTTGAACGCCCCGGGATCCCATATGGGTGCTGGTTCTAATTCCGGCAGCTCCACTTCCCATCCAGCTCCCTGCTTGTGGCCTGGGAAAGCAGTCCAGGACAGCCCAAAGCTTTGGGACCCTGCACCCCTGTGGGAGACCTGGAAGAAGCTCCTGGATTCTGGCTTTGGATCGGCAAAGCATCGGCTGTTGCGCTCACTTGGGGAGTGAATCATCAGATGGAAGATCTTCCTCTCTGTCTCTCCTCCTCTCTGTATATCTGACTTTCCAACAAATAAATAAATCTTTAAAAAGAACCAAACTGGTTTTGGTTTTGCTTATCATCCTTTTCTCTGGAAGCTGACACAGAGCTTGGCATATAGAATCATTGCTGAGTGAAATCACACCATCCTGGGACTGCTGCCATGATCCACCCACCTGCGCTCCATCTTCCACACCGTCTGCTCCTGCAGTGGCCTCCATTTAAGGCTTGCTCTTCCATTACAGAAACACGTAACAGTCCAGGCACTCGCCTGCTCAAGCCTACCCACTCATCAATCAATACTGTTGATTTGTTCCTTTATTTTTCTTATCTAATTCAACAGCAACAACAAACTTAAACGGCTCTCTGTTAAATTTGTTATATTTGTCTCAATTTACTAAATGTAACTGTTTGTGCCTTTGTGAGTCTAATCCCAGAGGTACAAGGAAGTGTATTAATGCTAGAAGTCTATCTCCTTTGCACTACAGAAGCAGAAAGCATGGTGAAGATGGACAGCAGCCATGACCATGTGGCTGGCTGCTGTGCTTTGGTCTTCGGATTTAGGCCTTGTTAAAAGGCTGCTCAAACAGGGCCAGTGCTTTGGCACCCCACATCTGTACTCCTTCATGGTCTGGCCAAGCCCCGGCTGTTGCAGCCACACAGGGAGACCCAGCAGATGACAGACCTCTCTGTCCCCCACTCTGTAACTGCCTTTCACATAAATAAAACAAAAATTAAAAAGAAAGAAAAGGCTGCTCAAGTAAATGACTAGAAACTAAATGAGATGAAACATTACTGAAATTCTATTTTCTAATCTTTAAAAGCAGTCGAAACTAACAACTTAGTAGCTACTATTTTTAAGGTTAGCTGATAGTTTAATAATTACTGTACTCAAAAGTTACAGCAACCCTACAGAGACTAAAAAGTCTAGGAACAATAGTGAAGAAAAATTGTTACCACTCCATAATGCTGTACTCACTCTCCTGGATACCAATTAGACCTGAGTGAAAACTCACCGACAAATAACCACTGAGAGACACCTAAGGGAAGGTGCTGCTCCAGAGCTGGACAAATCTAAGATAATCCACTTCCAAACCAGCTTTCTGGGTCCAGTCTTGGCAGGACTTGGGGGGGGGGGGGTCTCTGTCACCCATGTGGGAGAACCAGTTGGGAATTCCAGGTTCCTGGCCATCAGCCTGCCCACCAACCCTGGCTGTAATGGGCATTTGGGAAGTGAACCAGTAGATGGCAAATCTCTCTAACTCCCAGGTGCTGTGCCTTTCAAATACAAAGAAGGAAGGGGACAGAGGGAGGGAGAGGAAGGGATGAAAGGAGGAAGGAGGAAGGAAGAGATTGAAGAGAGAAGGAGAGAAAGGCCTTCCATGGATAGGTGTAATACAAGGAGGAAAACAGACAACAGCAAGCATTCAAGAAAAGCTACCTCCAGGTGCTGGTACAATGGCTCAACTGGCTAATGCTCAGCCTGCAAGTGCTGGCATCCCATATGGGCGTTGGTTCCTGTCCCAGGTACTACACTTCCTATCCAGCTGCCTGTTCATAGCCTGGGAAAGCAGTGGAGGATGGCCTAAAGCCTTGGGATCCTGTAACCCATGTGGGAGACCAAAAAGAGACTCCTGGCTTCAGACAGGTTCAGGTGCTGTCGCTGCAGCCAACTGGGGAGTAAACCAGCAGATGCATGATCCTTCTGTCTTTCCTTTTCTTTGTAAATCTGCCTTCCAACAGAAATAAATAAAGCTTAAAATTAAAAAAAACCAAAACTCTATCTACTGCCCAATGCTCATTCTTAGTCTCATGTCAAAACCCTCAGGTACATACAATGCCATCACTGGGACAGGACAGATGAGCTCACTACCACAGAGAAGCTTGCAATTAGAAATGCTACCCTGGGGCTGGCACAGTGGTGTAGCAGGCTAATCCTCCATCCTTTGGCACTGGCATTTCACAAGGGTGCCAGTTTGTGTTCTGGCTGCTCCACTTCTGATCTCTGCTTATGGCCTGGGAAAGCAGCCAAGGGAAGCCCAAACCTTTGGGTCTCTGCACCCATGTGGGAGACCCAGGTGAAGCTCCCGGTCTTGGATCGGTTCAGCTCCAGCCATTGTGGCCATTTGGGGAAGTGAACCAGAGGATGGAAGAACTCTCTCCGTCTTTCCTCCTCTTTCTGTAAAGTCTGCCTTCCAAATCAAAAACCAAACCAAAACAAAACAAAACTTTAAAAATGCTAAAAGGCATGCTCTCTTCCAGCTTACAAATCAAGTCTTACAAGGTCGCTGGGACAGCATCAGCGAGTGAGGAAAGGGTGCCAGAGCCGGACACTCCTGCAGCTCAGCCCTTTCACAGTCTCTGTGACACGCCACACAGCACCGATCCATCTCTGGTACGAAGCCTCTACTCAAACCCAGGACAGCAACGAAGACAGCCACTGCCACGGGTGAGCACCAACCTCAGAACTGAACCCACTGCCTGCCTTAAAGGGGAATTAATAATTAAAGGAATAAAGCATTTATAGCTGGAAAAACAGAGCACATGTAGCTGAAGGCAATCTCAAAGGCTAAGAACTAGACTCTGCTGGGATAATTAAGCGATACGATAAATAAGGCCACTTTTTCTGCTGACAGTAAAATCACGCTTAGCATTTATATAAGTAACACAAGTGACATCCCCTAGTAAAACACAAACACACTCACCCCACACACTGCAACTTGCATGATGGCATCAAAGCCACCTTCTGGAGAGTCCAGATTTCCGGAAATACGCTGCTGCCCGACAAGCCTGTTAAACACTGCTCCGTCCTCTGTGAGGCTGAGTACGTTCTTGTAGCTGAAGGGGCTGGTACAGTTCTGCTCACTCGTGCAAGGGTTCCTGAGCTTAGCAGGTGTGGTGCTAATATAAGGCATCACGGTTTTCTCCACAAAGGAGCCAAACCCTAGAATAGACAGATACACAGATAGGCAATAACCCTGTTTCCTACACAAGCTGCTATGGACTCAGTGTCTATGTCCATGAAAGCCCAATTTTCCATGTGACAGAGAGACATGCATCCCTGCGCCTGACCATCTGCCTATAGCATCACAGAAGGACCAGACCATGCATCCAGCTTCTGCCTTCCCGCTGCCTTTCTTGTATCTCAGGTCTTCACACTGCCACACTGAATGAATGGAGCAATGTTCTAGAATTCTGACCACTTCCTATTTCCACGATCCTAGATCTAGATCTGTGCTTCCTGAAGACAACGGAACTATAACCAAATGCTATTCTCTTATGGTTTCTGTTGAAACAGAGTTCCTTTTTAAAAGGCAGCTTTTCAGCCACAAGGAGCTGTCAAGGTTTCCGAGCACCCTGCTGCTACACCTCAGGTGGAGCAAGAGCCGGAAATAGCAGGCAAAAAGAGGCGCAGCTGGAGACCACCGCACAGGAATGGGAAGGGCTGGAAAGAGGAGCATTCCAACATGGCACACTTGGTGTGAGGTGAGACAAAGCTGCTGCAGCAGGCGAGAACAGAATGTATTTTATCACCTGCACCGCTCAGAGGCACAGTGTGCACAGCCTGACATTTCATTTCAGAAGGAAGAGCAAAAAGCTGGCCCTCCGATCTCCCAAGTCTACGCTGGAGAACCAAGAATGAAACCTGCCCAGACATGTGCAGGTGAAAGCCACTCATCTTCCCAACATTCCTACCGATTCGGAAGTCTGAAGTCACTGAACTCATCCTTTTCATCAGATCTGTCCCCAGACTCTTGACGTTTTCCAGGTCGTCCTTCATGGAGTAGGAGAGATCCATGAGGTAGTACAGGTCAATAGGGTAGTCCTCCGCACGTTTGAACTTCAACGTGAACGTCTGTGGCTCTCCTGATCAAACGTGGGTCAGAAACGACGTGAGTGTGCCAGGCATCAAGAGCAAATGGGAAAACCAAGCAGATCTGACTGCCCTGGCAAACGCAGGAACATCAACAAAAACCAGAGATTTCTAGAAATAATTCACTGAGTCTACACTCAATTTCATTCAACAAATACTTCACACACGAGGCCTTGCGAGTACAAAGATGAAATAAACAGCATGCCCAACCCATACTAGGTAACTTGTGTCTCAAAAATTAAGTTTCCTAACTGACTTAGGATGGACGGAGATTGGATTTTTAACAAACCTCAGGTGTTGGTCCCAGGAAACTACCACATGCATGTCAGTCACCAAATATTATTTTTACTTCAGAAAACTCAGGAATAGTCTTTAAATTGTATTATTGACACAAAGGCTAGTTAACAAATAATAGGAAAAATTCAAGAGGGAGGTGACAAAGAAATGAATTGAAATGATGAGGATAGAAAAGAAAAGAGATGTCAGGCACACTTCCCTCCAGAAACAGGAGAATGAGAGGTTTAGATGAACCACTGTTAAATTCTGTCTGAAGAAACTCCTGGTAGGCAGGTAGGAGAAAAACAAGCAAATATTGTTAAATCTCAAGGAAAACCACTCCAACAAGTGGATTGCAAAGGGGGTGGGGGAATAGAAACACACAAAAAGCAGCCTGGGAAGCGTTGGTGTAGATGAGAGCAGTCAGGAGCCATGTCCTGGAGGAAGCACACTGCTCTGCTGGGCACAGAGGGGCCAGAGAGCCCCAACAGGATCCACGGGCTGCGGTGTCTCAGACTGAGCGCAGGTGTGCTGCAGCGGACTGGGCGTGGATGTGGGGAAAGGGGAGGAGGTTGCACACAAAGGCATCGCCTCCAGAGACAGCACACAAGTTTTGAGTTCCAGCACTGCCACAGATAATAGAACTCCAGTAATTTTAAAAAACAACAACAGAAAGAAAACATTAAAACATTGCTTTTATATTATGGAATAGAAAGAGAATAAACACTTGTGAAACCCAGGAAGTCAAATTAATACTTGCAAGAACTTACTTGATCTTAGACAAAAATTTAGTATTGTCCTTTGGAAAATCTTAAGAATTGTGCTTGTGAAACTCTCAGCCTTTCTGACTGGCTAGCCTGAGGCCTCCATGGAGGCTGAGGCAGAGGGCTGGGTCTCACCTGATCGCAGCTGCAGAACCAGCTGCTGGGGCTGGATCTGCGTGATGTCTTCAGGCTGCAGCTTCTCTGCTGTTCCTTTGCTACGGTTGGTGACATTTTTATTTTTCTTGATGGCTGTGGAACCTCTGGGATTCTCTATGTCATCTGGATGGCAGCCTTTCTTTTTCAAGGCCTCTAAATCATCACACCGTGCAGAAGTAGGCATTCCTTCCTGTAGAAAGGTCTAAATAACACATGAACACGTAAGTAAAAGGGGAGCATATGACATGTCTCACTCCTGGCTTGTACATAAAGCGCTCCCTTCACTCAAGTCATTAAAGTACTCATTTAAAAACAAAATCATTCCAGAGAAAGTATCACCTCTTTCAAGAACTGACCTAAGTGTTTGTTTTAAATGTTCCATTTGTGAATTCAAAAACTAAACTTCTCAGTGAAACCGTGTGTTGAATACAGTTGACAGCAACTGGTAACCTACGTACTGAAGTATCAGGCACTTTCCCAGAATTTTCCTTAGCAGTGCCTTTTCAAAAACCCCACAGCACTTCCCTCAGCACAACTTTGGGAGTTTAACTGTAAGTTAAGGAAAAGCACAGCAGCATAAACACATCTCAGGAGACTAAGAAACTTAACACTGATTGAAGTATTCCTGAGAGTCGGAAAAAGTTTCTAAGTATTGGCTATTGTTTTAAGAGTTTAGAAGCGATTTAAATCAAAGTATTTTACAGGAGCAGGCATTCTCTCTATTGAATAAGATGCCCACATCTAACACTGACATGCCTGGCTCTAGCTTCCGATTCCTGTCTCCTGTTAACGCAGACTCTGGGGGAGGTGGCAGGTGATGGCCTAAGCCTTCCACGGGAGACCCAGATTAAGTTCTCGGCTTCCAGCTCCAGTGCAGCCCAATCTTGGTGATTACAGGGATTTGGGCAAGGAGCTGGCAGATTACAGCTCTCTGTCGCTCTCTGAAATAATTTAAGTATTTTGTGAAATATGAAAACGGAGGGAAAAGTAAGGGCATGACAATCATATCTGTTCTTAGGCACCAATTTCATGACTTTTACATAAAGTATGAGTGAAGATGCTTAAATGTAAAGAATAAACAGGGGCCAGCATTGGGTCACAGCAGGTAAAGCCTGTGCTGCAGGCATCCCATATGGGCACCAGTTCAAGACTCAGCTGCCCACTTCTGATCCACCTCCCTGCTAACACATCTGAGCAAGCAGAAGAGAGCCCAAGTACGTGGGTGTCTGTACCGACATGGGAGACCTGAAGAAGCTCCGGGATCCTGACTTCAGCAGCCATTTGTAGAATGAGCCAATAGAATGCAACATCTCTCCCTGTCTCTAATTATGGCTTTCAAATAAAAACAGAACAAAGAGAACAATGACTTCACAAATGTTCAAGTCAAACACAACACTGCTGAGGTCACTTTTGAGAAGCAGCTGGGAGAGACCACCAAGACACAAATGGCTCAAGGCTGGGACTAAAGCTTCAGCTCTGAAATAGCTCCTGACCCAAAGCACAAAATCTAGGTAGGGATTATACTTTCCCACATATCAGCCAATTCAGACACTTTAAGAGTACATTCTGAGAGAACTTTTAATCATTTAAAAATTATGTCCCAAAACTCTGAAGCTGAATTTTTAGGAACATCCCACGCCTGAGTGAATCCCGTAGCACAGCGAGCACCACCTCCACTTCCTCAGTCAGGCAAGCTCTGTGCCAGACCCGGAGGGCAGTCGCTGTCTCTGCAATGCCTCCCACCCAATCCCACACCGTGTAATCCCAATACAACCCTGCACACCATTCTCAAGAGAACACCAGGTGTCAACAGAAAAATTCTGTAAAGAAACAAAGTTTCTCAATGCTCTTCCATGGTCAAATCACAAATCTGATTATGTGAGCAGCTATGGCAACAAAAACAAATAGGTACTTAAAATGTGGGTCCAAATGCCTGATAAAAAATTATGCTTTTATCTTCTGATATTAGTTGTTTATTCTGTGAATAAACTGCTTGACTTCTGATCTGGCCTCTCTACCTCCTGTTCTGATAATAGGACCTGTGCAAGGAAAGCATTAAAAATGACAGAAGAGATAGAATCCAAATCCCAACCACAGCAGGTTCTTAAGGACACAAATCAATGCTATATTATTTTAACTCAGACGTCACTGGGAGAGTTAATTTATTCACACACACACACACACCCCCGAAAAGTTACAACAAACAGCTCAATTACTTTGGAAAGTTACCCAATACAAATATGACACTTGTCCTAAAGGTGAATCACACATGTTCTAAACCTATCCAGCATTCACACACACACAAAAAAAAAGAAAAAGTAACTCTAAAATGATGTGTTAAAACATGCAAAATATGCATATATTCAAAATGACATTATTTCAACATTACAATATATATTTCAAACTTACAGCAATTTTCAGTTTCTAACACCCAAACAAGGGTATTGCAAGAAGTTGGTGGCATCAGAACTGAAAGGTAAGTCTTGGTGCAGACAATCTTTGCTAGCTTGAGCAGCCTTAAAAGTCAGAGCCCCACAGTCTCAGGGCCCACGGGCTGCTATGCTGAATGGCTCAGTTCTCGGCCATCACGTATTATATAATACACATTGGGGATCTGAGGACTGCAGATTTTAAACAGGAAGCCATCCACTTACCGAATTCGTGCACCACCCACAATTGGGGCCTGCCTGTATGCATTCTCCACAGGATTTAGCGTTGGCTTTTATACATCTATTTTCATCTGTCAAGAAAATGAACAGACCATTTTCCATGAAGTTGCAGAGAGAATACAATGAAATAGGATCATTGAAACAAGTGACGCTGTGTGAGTGAGCATGACAGATGTCAAACTGAAGGCACCGGCTGACCCCAGATGTGGTACTGCAAGCCATGGAAGGACAGCTGTCTTCCTTGTCTTCCATATGAAAGCCAGGTACCTTCTGTACATTTACGTCCTTGTGTTCAAAGGAACGGATTCCAAAATTTGTCATTTGGGATGGTCACAAATGTCCTACACCTTCTTACAATCAGGTATAGGGCTAACACTTACCCAAAATGACCCCTGGGGACCTTCCTTTAGGGATATGAAGCCACTGAGGCGCTAACTGATCCGATCCATAACCCAGGGCTGCTCTGTTCTGTTCAGTGTCCTTAAATGCCTCTGAACTTGCCTAAGGAGCAGCACGCCTCTCATACACTAAACACAGCAAGGACTGGCTGTCCTCCTTTTTCCCGATTATTAACTTCACGTTCTCATTCACAGGAAATTTGAAAAATTCATAAAACCATAAATCCAAAAAAGCCATCTCCACCGCTACCAGCTAACCACTGCACCCCTGCCACCTATTTCTTTCCAGCTGTTGTCTTGAGCAGAGACAGAGAAGCAAGCACACACAGACCATTTTAATGAAACTGATGACACAATTTGCATAGCACTTAATATGACGCTTTTTAAGTATTTTGTTGTGTGATTACAAATTCTTCAAAAACATGCCTTGTAATTATTATACAGCTTCTCATTACTTGAATATATCCTGCTTAATGTTGGGACAATTCCATGTGTGTGCACATGCTTGTTCACATGTGCAGACTCCATGCACGGGCACACAATTACTATACATACACATATGCCCAGTACACATGTACAACACACTACACTCATCCTCACACATACCATACCATACACATACACAGTGCTTTGCACACGCACACACACTCACATTGTGAACACGCACATTTATCTATGCACTCTGAACTGTTTTTGTTTTGTTTTGAAGATTTACTTATTTATATGAAAGCCATAGAGACAGAGAAAAAAATAGAGCTCTTCCATCTGCTGATTCACTCCCCAAAGGCCCACTGCAGCCAGGAATAGGCCAGGCCTGAGGTCAGAAGCAAAGAATCCCAGCAGGGGCCCAAGTATGTGCGCCATCACTGGCTCTCTCCCAGATGTGGTAGCAGGAAGCTGGACCAGATGTGTAATAGCTGGGACTGAAATAGGTGCTCCAACATGATATACGGGTTCTCAAGCAACTGCTGAACCTGCTGCACCACAACGCCCATTTCAACCACTTATATCTAATATACACACTGGACATTCCAAAAGGGGTCATACTAAGCATTACATTAATGTTTTCACAATTCTGAAAACATTCTAATTTCTACTTAAGTAATATACCTATTAATACTCTCACATGCCATGTATTAACACCATTTCACCAAACCTCCAATGCTAAGTACTTAATGTCACAAATGTTGCTCCTCAGTGGACATTGAGCCTAGTGGTTAAAACATGCATGTCCCATACTGGAAGACAGTGGTGATGGTTCAACTACTTGAGTCCTACAACCCACACTGGGTACCTGGGTTGTCCTCTGGGCGTCAGCCACAGTCCAGCTCCTGCTGTTGTGGGAGTTTAGGCACTCAATTACGCCTATCTGCCTCTATCTCTTCCTCTCAAACAAAGTACAATGTAAAAATGTATTTTAATTTTACTACTAGGCATAAAGAAAGCATCAAACTGTCAAGTTATTTAAGGCTTCAATTATTCATGTTTACTGGTCACTTATTAAGTTCTGTGTTTGCTTGCAAATTTTTCAACTGTCACATTTCTTGTTTTTATTGATTTCTGCTCACATCATTTAAGGTATAAGCCTGTTTAATTTCTAGTGTGATTTATCACATCCCAACTCATACTGTTTTTCTTGCTGTCATTGGTTATTTTGTGTAACCCACGTAGACCAACATGTTTTCCCTGGTGGAGCCTCCCACTGTTTCTACCTGTAGTGAGGCACTGCTCCTGGGCTGGGCTCCAGGCAGGGACAAACAGATCATGATCTGCTTGTAGACACGTTACCTGCCAGGACTTCTCTCTGCACGCTCAGTCATCCTGTCCAATCCATGCTTGTAAGCTCAGCCTTTAGCCACACAACAGGACAGGAGTGGGGGCAGCTTGTCCACGGAGGCCCCTTGCCCTTCACTCTGAGGACATGGTGTCACTGTGGGGCTTCCGGGGAGTGGCAACACTGCACTTGAGTTTTATCCAGGAGCCCGGTCAAGAGTGAAAACAAGGGGCTGCTATGGTGGAACGGCAGGTGAGCCACCATCTGCCACACGCTGGTGTTCCATGCGAGCAACAAGTCCCGCTGCTCCATTTCTGATCTAGACTTTGCTAACACACCCGGGAAAGCAGCAGAGAATGGCCTGAGGACCTGAGCCTCTGCGACCTCACAGGAGATCCAGAGAAAGCTCCAGGATTCAGCCCGGCACAGCCATGGCTCTGCAGCCACTTGGGGAGTTGAAGAACACCAGTGGATCGAAGAACATTCACTCTCCCACCATTTCTCACACTCTGGCTTTCAAATAAATCTTTAAAAACAAAACAAAACAAAACACCAGTACCAGAATAAAAAGCTGAGAAAACTTTCTTTTACCTGTTTGGCCAAACACACAGCAAATCGAACCGATCAGTCCAATGCAGAAAATCAGTTGTAAATGCATCTGAAAATTTAAAAATATGTATCATTATATCAAAAAAAAAGGAATAAATGAAAATGCATTTAGTACAAAACGTTGCAGTCCATCTCCTGACTTTATAAACCTGCACAGCCATTGTCATCCCCTCCCCCACCAGCACAATAACTTCCATGTCACACCCAAGGAAGCACTGTGGCATTTCTCTAACTCACAGGCATCTTAATCTTCAACAGTGCCCAGTGTCCTCCAACAGCATCAAGGCTCTCCAGCTCCAGGGGAGGACCCAGAGGCCTAGTCAGAACACTAGGCATGGGTCACCTTGCTCACCCTCAAGGCTGAGCATCAGTGTGAGCAAACAAATCCCGATCCACATGGCCCCTCTGCAACTATTCAAGAGTTTTCATCCTCTGCAGGCCAAAATCAACAAACCTGCAGAAAGTCCCAAATAAATTTTTGCATCTGAGTTCCCATTTTTTTTTAATTAGATGTAGGTAAAATAATTAGAATATTAATTCTCTACATTTTGCAGGACTGAAAATGAGGCAAAACAATTCTTTTAAAAAGCCACAGCCTGTGGGCCCAGCACAAGATACCCTAGCAGCTAAAGTCCCCACTTTATAGGGGCCAGGATCCCATATGGGCACTGATTCTAATCCCAGCAGCCCCGCTTCCCATCCAGCCCCCTGCTTGTGGCCTGGGAAAGCAGTGGAGGACGGCCCAAAGCCTTGGGACCCTGCACCCACATGGCAGACCCGGAAGAAGCTCCTGACTCCTGGCTTTGGATTGACTAAGCTCCAATCATTGCGGCTGTTGGGGAGTGAATCAACGGACAGATCTTCCTCTCTGGCTGTCCTCCTTGCTGTATATCTGATTTTTCAATAGAAATGAAAAATAAATCAAAAGGCAAAGTCCCTAAGCAATCATTAGACTCCAAGAAAAAAAAAAAACTGATCAGCACTCTACACGTAGAGATCCCCTCCGTCCCCAACCACGAGGCGCAGATACTAAGAGAAGCAGGGGCTGCTCAGCGGCCAGCACCGCGGATGCACTCTCTAACCACATCCACCCTTGGGCAGCTACTCTAGTCACTACGTACACATGAAGACACAGGTACCAAAAAAGGAAACGCACACCAAAGTTTGCCTTTCCTAGCTATCAAATTAAGTAAAATTAAAGCAACCTACAGTAGAGCAGGAACAATTAAAAAAAAAAAGTTGTTTTAACTCAACAAAACCTGCTTAAAGATGGCCAAGAGAAACCAACTGCAGCTCTCAGGGGAAGTAATTTCACAGAGCTTCTGCCCTGTAACTCAGTAACCCAACTGCTGGGGAATCGCCCATAGGCACATCCACAAGCACACCACAGCACAGCGCTCAGGACACTTACAAGAAGATACAGGGAAGTGCAACGGCATCAGAGCAATGGACACTCAGCTGGAAAAAGGACAGAATGCCACCACATTCACAGGACACAGCAGACACACAGACACAGAAGGAGAGCAGAAGTGACAGCACATGAACCACCAAGACACCTGGAAAAGAGACAACACCACAGAAGACAGCAGGGTGTGTGTGTGTGTGTGTGTGTGTGTGTGTGTGTGTGTGTAGAGACAGCACCATAGAAGACAACACATGCGTGCTCACATGTTCATCTGTCACATTGCTTTTTAATGAAAACAAGTAACTTTGTTTCTTGGTAAGTTTTGGCCAGTAACAAAGAGCTAACTGAACTCTGAGCCCAGTGTTCTCCCTCCTGGGTGCACTCCCATGCCATGGTGCCATACGCATTGGCAACACCTGTGCCACCCCAGCTCCAGGCTGGCTCCTCCAAGGGAAACACGAGGTGAACCTGCACAGGCATCGATGATGTAAGCCTTGCTTCTGTCATGCCTTGAGATTAGTTTTGCTCACACATTACCTGTGACTGCATCCAAGATGGCAGCAGAAGGGTAGGGTGGCAAGTGGAAAACACACAGCAGTTCACCTTCTAAGGCCTGCCTGAAATGTGCAATCCATTAGAACAGACTAGAAACCTACACAACTCAACTAATGCTGACAATTCCAAGGGCATGAGTGCAAGGAGCCCTGTGGACACACACTGCCTGATGAAGATGTCTGAGTAGCTTCCACACACAGGAGCAGGGGGACTAGCCACCACACAAATGGAGTCACATTTGGGACACTACTCAGGCTACTTTAATGGCCACAGAATTCCAAGACTTGCTACTAGGACAAGGGTACTGGGCAACAGAAAATATGTCCTACTATTATTCTAAGACTATCAGTTCTAAAACATCACTTTCAGGAGCACTGCCCTTTTCCTTCAATAAACCTTGACGAGTAAAGGTGCACCTTCTGAAACCCCCCTGCCTCTGCTAAGCTCCCAATCCAGAACCAGGTGAGACCAACATGAGCACAGGAGAGCAGATGAGCCCATGAGAGGGCTGTAACAGTCCCAGCACTCAACTCCTCTCTCCTGGGGATGCTGAGGTCCAGGCCAGAAGTAGGTGTGCTTACTAGCTGATGACATCCGGGAAAGGCCAGGCTTTCCCTCCAGGCAAGGGAGATGCAGGAAAGTAAGAGATGGCAGCAACACAGAATAAAAGAGGTGTGGACATCTGCCTAGTGATTAAAACATCCGCACCCACACTGGAGTATCTGGGCTCTGGCTCCCCACTCAGCTTCCTGCTAATGCACTCTGGGAGGCAGCAGTGAAAGCTCAAGTGGTTGGATTCCTGCCACCCACACAGCAAACCAGTTTCTAGCTCCCAGCTTCAGCCCACCCCAGCCCAGCCCCACCATGCAGACCCCAGTGAACCAAAGCATGAGGGCTCTCTTGCCTCTTAAAGCAATGAGCGTACAGCAGTCTTATCTGAAGTTGACTTCAGAAGAGGTGCTTAAGAGAGGGACCCAAGAGAAAGAGGAAAAAGCCAACACACAGGTATTTATCTCAGAGTGGGTACCTGGAGGCTCAACCTTGACAACCAAAGCAACAACGTGCGCTCAGAGGAGCATCAGTGCAAAGCACCTCTTCAACTCCAGGCTCCTGCAGGGAAACTGTGGCCTTGCTCAAGGAGCACTTCCTCCTCTACTCTTCCAAGCAGTGCCCACTTGGTCACCTGGTAGAGACCATGTGACATCACTCAAAGGCACAGCTGGATTTCACAAATGACCCCTGGTGCCCACTGGGAAAGACCTGTTCCATGACAAGGTCAGACAGGCCATTCCCCAGGAACATAGGAGATGTGTTCTAGAGACTCAAGTACTTGAATGCATGAGTTACTTCACTTAAACTTTCAATACTAGGCTTTCATCCCAACATCTTCAAATAACAGGGACAATGACAATAATAATAGCATCTATATCTTTCAGTCACCCGGTGAGGTTCAGGAGTCATTATTTGGGAAACCAAGCCACAGACAAGGTAAAGAACTAGCACGGGTGGGACTGAAACCAGACCACCTGAGCCCAGAGGCGGTCTGAATAGGAACATCATTAGCTCTGAGTTGTTGAAGGCTTGCTTAATCACTATTTTAAAGGAAGCAACATCATGTTAGAACTGACTCAGGGCGCAGAAATGTGGAGAGCTTGTCATGCTGGATGAGTTGGTCCTGTGGGCTCTCGGGCTGACTGGAGGCCAACAAGAGCTATTTTAACTTTGTTACTTCACAAACACAGACACAAGGTTTCTGTCCAATTCCCAACAGAATATTCACTCTGAGGTCATTTTCTATCATGTTCAATTTTATCTATGGGGTCATGATTCACCTTCTGAACAATAATCTTAGGCACCTCCCACACACCAATCTCATCTTAATGGTTAACAGCAGCAAATGGGTGCAATGCTGCTACTGTCAGGAAAACTGCCCAACTGACTCAATTCTCACAGTACAAGCATCTTTATCCATGAAGGTTAAAGATGGTTTTATATTCTCCTCAAGCTTTTAAATACACACTCAGTTAACTCACCTGGCATTTTCTTTTACATTTGCAGACAGTTTAAAAACTGCATGTACAGGTCAAAATCGCTTGTTTGAAATACGAGACCAGAAAGGTTTGGATTTTGGATCTTTGGGGATACTGAAGTGAAGTGTGTATGGGGTGGAGAGGTAAAAGCTTGTAGAAAATGGAATTGAATGATAATTCAAATTTTCCATTAACTTTTTGAAACCCCAGCTTGCACAGCAGGATATATCAGAGATGGGACCCAAGTCTAAACATGAAATTCCTTACACACACAGCTTTCATAGGCAGCCGGAGGAGACGATCTGCAGGACTGTTAGTGTATCGTCAGCTTGTGAACCCTTCCCCAGGTCAGGTGCACAATCTTCCACTCAGGGTATCACCTCACCTTTCAGATCCTCCAGCAGTTTATAGTTTGTAATTTCACATTAGAGATGCTCATTCTATGCTGTATTTCTAGAAATTAAGCAATTACACTTCACGGAAAAGCCTAACTTTTAAAAATAGTGGTGACATTTACATCAAAGTTTCAGGGTAAGATCTCCATAAACTAACCCATACAAGAAGTAATGCACAAGAGTTCTTCCTACACAACCCCTATGCTTTAAAAAATATCTATTTTTATTTTATTTGCTCACACTTTGAAATACAGCAAAGTTGGATGTATCCCAAGTCTGTTCTATCACTATTATTTCCCACATTTTTATTATGTATTTTTATTTTCATTTGAAAGCTGAGCGAGCCAGCTGACTGACAGAGTGAAAAGACAGCATCATCTAACTGTTTCACTCCCCAAATGCCCACAATGGGCAGGGCTAAGCAGGGCTGAAGTCAAGGACCAAAAATTCCACCCGGGTATCCCATTTGGGTGGCAGGGGCCCAAGTACCTGGCTGGTTATCTGCAGCCTCCCGGAGTGCATATCAGCAGGGAGCTGGAATCAGAAGCAGAGCTGAAACCTGAACCCAAGACTCAGATATGGGATGCAGGCTTCTCAAACCAGATCTTAACTGCCACTATTACTTCCTGCATTTGCTTTTTGGGATGGGTAATTTTATAGTGCC